CCGAAACATAAGTAAGTGTACGAGAGAAGTTACTTAACTGATAAGGAAACTTGATTTCCTTGAAGACCTAGTTCAGTTTGTTTCTAGCCTTGATATTACATATTTTACCTTTTTCGTTCCTCGATTTCTCTCTGCCTTTGAATCTCAAGTTGTTCTCGCCTTTCTTTCTCTTTTTCCTCTTTTTCTTTTAATGCATTGCGTAGCTGTTTCTTTTTTTCCTGCAATCAAAAACATCCCGTTAAATGATCACCAATTCACCATGTCAATATGGTTAAAATAAGCTCCACCCTAATGTGCTTACTACATGTACCTATCACTACATTGATACCAATTTGTAATACTGACTCGAGAAAATTTCCTCATAGTAAACAGAATTATTTTATTTAGCGCCTTAGCGCTTATTTTCTTACACTGCCTCTACAGAGCTCACATATTCAAAACGGGGCTCTTGGTAGGGACAGGGCACTTATTTCTTTTATGAGAAACAGCAAAACGTGCAAAACAAAGCTTTGATAGGGGCATTTATTGAAACGAGGGTGCTTATTACTAAATTAAAAATCTGCCAATCTTATTCAGCACCTTATCTGAGAAAACTGTAAATTTTGACCTCCATGTACACTGTAATGTATCAATATGACAAAGGGTTTTCATAAAGAAATTATAGTACATGTAGCAAGGGAAAAGTTTAAAAGGAGGATGTTCTCTGTGCCTGATTAAAAATAATTAATGCCAACAAGACTAGGAAGGGAATTCTGTGCAACAGCTGGGAGTTTTGTGATGTCCAGGTGGGATCATCTGTTGAACACTCTATGGAGCACCCTGTACACCAAGCTTTTAATTCCAATGGATTTAGCTCATAATGATTTTCTTCATGCATTACGTGATACAACCCTTTGACCCCTTATAGAGACCAGCATCTAATTTCTCCTTTTCATCATCACCCCTGAATCACACATTAGGATCACGACAATTAAGTAAATGACTACTGACTGGAGAAGATCTTGATAGCTAAACAAATTCTCCTTGTCAGTGCCTTAGAAAATGTATAAAGAACAAAATGGAGAATATAGAGACTCAGGTTAGGTTACAGAGGATTACTTAATAAAAACCATTTTTGTGGGGTGTTGTATTAAATACTCTGAAGGTGAATGGTACTGGTAAATCAAATATGTGATGCCTACCTCTGGATCAACCTTCTTGGGTGTGTTCCTTCTGATAAATGAATGGACCACAGCTATGTTATTTGGTTTAGACTGAAACAAGATAAAAAAAAGGAATGTTGGGATTTTTTTTTAAAATGTAGCTGGTAATCAATGCTTTTGCATTGTAAGCTATGGTACAATTGAACATGTGACAAATTCCTTACTGTTTACTGTATGCACACTGTTCAGTCATGTATTGCTTTGCCTTCCAGTAGCAAGGAAACCTTGGAGTTTCAAGAAGCATAATGCAAAATGTGTTTTATCCCACCATCAACTACAGTTTTAAAATTGAGGTTTTTTTTTATCATATGCATAACATTAGGTGTATTAAGAGGTATTTATCTTGTGATTCTTTATTGACATTTATTCATGCATTTATTACTAGTTGCTTAGACTATTGTAAGTCTCTTGTATCATTATCTAAATTACAGATCTTAAAATTACAATGTATTCAGGGTGAAGCAGTTGAACTTGCTATGAACAAGCATTCACAAGTTACATTCAGCACTTTATGATCTTCACTGGCTGCCAGTACATGCTCATATTCATTTTAAGATATTAGACTTAGCTTTTAAGGCAATTCATGGATTAGCATCACTGTATATTAGTGATTTAATTAGTGTTAGGCAGAAGTCCTCTTACAATCTTAGGTCTGATGGCACCTTGTTACTAGAGGGTTTCTATGCTTGGTGCTAGATCCTTTATGCCACTGCACCATGTTTGTGGAATAGTTTGTTTGCTGAATTGAGTGCTATCCCATCATTGATAATTTTTGAATGCAATCTTAAGACCAACCTTTTTGGTCGGGTTTTTCTTTAACTGCCTTAGACCAGATATTTTATTTAGGTTTTTATTGGGTATTATTTATTCTGATTTGTTTTAGTTATTGCAAGTCTCATTTACATTTTACATGGTATACTTTGATTGTTGTTGAATAGTTTTATCAGGTGAATTATTATAAAGCACTACTGATCATTTCTATACATAAAGCATTATAGAAATATTTGAATTACTATTGAGTTATTATTCTAAGAGTAAGAGTAGATTTTACCTTGTGTGAAGGATTCAAAGTCTCTTGTGAAGGGGGTGTCATTGGATCTTCTAACATCTCCCTTGAGTTGGGTGCAGATTCTTCACCACTGCTCCCATCACTTGCTTGCACAATGATCACGGAAGAATTGGCATTTTCCAGAGTGGGTGAATGATCACTGCAAAGTTTCAATTAAAATATGTATGAATCAAAAGTCTGACAACAGAGCCCCCGTTAATAAGACTTAGTGTAAAAAAGAAAAAGTATTCTTTTAACATTTACATGTTATGGAAAACTGGTTTCAGCCATGTACTCATACATCTCATGACAGCAGGGATACTAGAATAATCCTCAATTTTACACCTCTATTTTCCAAAAATATAATAAAAGTCATAATAACAACATTAATAATAATAATAATAACAACAACAAACCCTTCGCACTAGCCTAGTAGTCAGTAGTTTAGTTTTACAAGTAGACATAACATGGAAAATGTTAATAAAGGTACAAACCTTTTTGTTTCAGTGTATTTCTCATCATCTGCCTCACCAATGTCTTCATTTTCAGATCCTCTACAGTCATCAAACACCTCCAATTCATCCTCTATGAATTCCTGTGTAATCTTCTCCACCAGAACTTCAGCTTTGTCCTCGGAGCTGCTATAGCTACTGTTAGTGGCAGAGCTTGCACTTTGACTACTGTTTTCACTTGTTGAATTATCAAACAGACGCACTTTGACATCTTCTAGGTTAGATTCTATATTTTCACCATTGGTTTGCTTTTCAGCACTGTGTATCTTCAATTCTGGCATGAGCTTTGAATGTGTCAACTTCAGTTTCACTGAACTTTTGACCAGGCTCTTCTTTCCAGGAACTTTTGATTTGGCTACTTTCTGTTTCATGGAAAGTCTTCTATTTGAAGGAGATCTGTTGTTGCTCAATCTTTTGCTCTTTCTACGCCATCCACTGCTTCTTCCTCTACTTCTCTCCAAAGATTTTTCTACAGGATTGGGTTCAAGTGTAGTTTTCTTAGTGACAACTTCTTTAGATAAATCAACTTTTGCATTCTCAGAGACAGGATTGTTTTCGTCATTTGATAAACTTCCCACTCCAGTTCCCACATCATCTTTATTTTTAGCGGTAGAGGTTTCAATAAACTCTTGGCATGAAACATGTGCTTTGGTGGGTGATTGTTCATGTGTTTCACTATTATTGACCAGAGGTTCCTCATCAAGAACTTGATTTTCCTCCAACGTAACATTCTGCAACCCAAGTTCTTTTGAAGCACAAGAATTTGGACTTTTCTCATGACAGAGACTTGATGACATTATTGGTATCACCTCATCACCATTTGGAGTGCCCAATGCTGGTGATTGTAGGACTACATTGATGGATGTTTTGCAGATCTTGGGAGATGTAGTTGGTGTCCTGGCTTTAATAGGAAAGGATTGCAGGGTTTCTGAAACAAGATCAGGCTCTGTTTTTGCTACACTATCTGTCAATTTATCGTTCTTTTCTGTGTTTACTCTGATTTGCCCCGCTTGTGATTTCTTACAAGTTGATACAACTTCTTGTTTAACAATTAACAAGGGTGTGATATCACCAGAATCCTTTGAGATGAGATCTGTACTTGATTTAGTTATCTCTGCTACAGGTTTCCTTGGTATTTTTTCTGATAGCGACACATCAGAATTTTCTTCCACCTCTTTCCGTCTTGAACTTCTAGTGGTTCTTCTGGGCAAGTCTTTGACTTCATTACTTGATGATGAGCGAATCGATTTTTCCTCTGTTACTCTGGTTAATTCTAAATTCGTCTTCTTAGGATTTCTGGTGGTTCGTCTCGGCTGATCGTCGATGAAAGATGAACCTGGAGTTTGCTCTTTTGATGTATTTCCTATATCTGGGAGATTCTTCTTTCCAGATCCTCTCTTTGGTTGTTGTCGTGCTGCTCGTGAATTAGCCCTAGTCGCTCTCGTCGTTCGTTTTGTATCATTATGATTACATTCCGTGTTCACTGCACTGCAGTCCAGCAGTTCGTTTTCATTGATTACCTTCAGTGGCGAGGCGTATCCTTGAGTCTTGTGAGTTTTTGCTTCCCTTGCCATTCTCGATGAAGCATCATCGCTACTATGCTCCTCATCACTCTCCTGTCGCTTTCTTTTCATGGATGGCGTCTTTGGAAGAAGAATGTAACTGTCTCTCCTAAGATCACAGAACAGAAGCACGTCATAAACAAAAAAACAGATACGCAAAGTTTAATGATTTCAAAAAGAGAAACTCTAGAGAAAATCTTACCGTCCAAAGGACTGCTTGGCTTCCGATAGAATCTCATAAAGATACTTAAAGTCATCTTCGATTTCTTGTTGGAACTTTCCTATCGCTTCTTCAGCTCGAATATGCAAAGAAAACCCTAGTGCCATTTCTTTCGTCGGGTTATTGAAGACCGCCATTAAAAATTTCACCGAGTGGTCTTCACCTTCATACAGCCAATTGAAAATGGATTTTCTTCACGAATTTGCTCTTTTAAACGAACATATTCCTCGATTAACTTTTAAGCCTTAAATATTGGCAATCTTTTGGTTTCAAAAAGAAAAATAGTAAAAACAATTCCCAACGAAATGAATTGTGCTCGAGAACTCAAGTTTGAATTTACCGTAAACCTGTAATAAGCCAATCACATTCCTCTTTTCATATTTTGCGCCAGCGATCATAAATTACCTCTAAGTCATGCGCAAACTTATGCAAATATAAAAACGGTGGTCTCCTGTGCGTACATAAGGAGACTTCCTTTAAAGAATTGTTGATGGCTTGACTCGCCCCAAAAAAGCACTTCTTTAGTGATTTTTATATAAATTACCCTGGTTTTCCAAGGGATAAGTACGTTTAATCCATAGGAAAGTTTCTCGTCAAAAACTTTTGTGGGGAAACCCTTCTAAGTGGAAACATTCACGTGGATGCTTCCTTCTTTCATCAAAACATGCCGGGAATTGTTGTATTTAGGCGTCGCTGGATGGTTGCAAGCGATGATTTGGTTATTCCGTTTGGAATTGCTTTCGTCCTTAGAGGAATATGGTAAGGAAAAATGTTCTATTCCACGCTGTTAATGGCATGTAATGATGGATCTTGGGAAGTATGCGAGCATGTTTTATGTGTACGTTCCGTTCTACACAAAATGTTTGACGTAAAGATACTTTAGAAAAATTCTACAACTATTCGACCTTATGGGACATGCCGTAAGCGTACAATCGTGTCATAAACCATGTAATTATTTATATCACGGCTAAAAATGTCTGTGAGGCAGATTATTATATTGCACCCCTCTTTTCGGAGCTTACCCACATGTAATTGGAAAGGAGGCATGTGCAATACTCCGCAAAACTCGGTTTATTTAGGAAGTCCGCTATTGTTCTGTTGCTATTCAATTTCATGCTTCCGTAACTTAAGAGAAAGATGTATGTTTGCACAGCAGATAATTCTATTTAGCCGTTGATCGGTGTTATTTTTCGTCCCCAGCTATTAGTGATAATTAAATTCTCGAGTTTTGGAATGTTCTTTCGACAACTCAAGTGGATTTATCTACGTGTCGAAATCTTGTTTTGGAAACTCTATAATCTTCGAGCTTTAGGTATCAAATAGTGATTCACATCTTCTCTTCAAGGGTACTGTAAGTTGCCAAAGTAAAATTTGGTGCATCGATATGTATGTCGTGTAATTTTGTTTGAAATAATTGAGTGATGGGTGAGTGAAACGATTGCGTGCTTTGTCTTCTCGGTGAGATGAGTTTATCGTCTACACCCTGCAGGTCTTGTGTGGTGTTGTAGACTGGTTTAAAAGTCTTATATTTTCACTTTCAAGAAACTTTGTAATATCGCAATGACAAATTGAATAGAGACGTTTTTTGTAGTCAGGAGAGAAATTCAATCTCATGTTCTTATATTGACCGTAATGCGGATATTCAAAATTACGTTATTTCTGCAGAACAACAAAATGCTACAATTACTTTTGATTTTATTTTTCCTCTTTGCGATTGTTGTCCATGTGCAATGGCGTTTTTGTTGCTAAAGATAACTCTGCGCTGCATATCCTGCAACACAGCCCAGTGCATTTTCATCAAGCCACAGAATCAATCTTCTGCTTATATTTAATTTATAATTTGGAAAACTATGCAGTGTCTAATCTGCTCCATGTTAGATCTGGATATTGTCACTAGTGTTCAGAATTTTCCAGCATTCCAAGAATAGACTGAGTTGAGAAAAATAGAATAAGTTGATTTTCTTAATTTATTACCTCCTATGAGGGATAATTTGTAAATTTCAATTAAAAATTGCCTTGTCAAATGTTTGAACGAGTTCCAGGCTTGTGGTTTTCTGAATTTCTTAGTTTTAGAATCTTAACGACATTAATGTATTCAAGTATCTATCTTTCTAAAGGATAGATAATTATTGGAGTATTGTGCTTCGATGGACTTCTATGTTTAGTGAATAGCTTTATTTTTAATTTTTAAGAGTGTTTTCAGCCAGTGAAATCAATTATGTTGGGAAAACAGATCATGTGGATGACATGTGTGTCAATTTGTCTTTGCCATCTGTTTTTATGTGGCTTGTGGGTTTGATATCAAACAGACTGGCTTTACTAAAGATTAAACGTATTGTTTTCAAACTTGGATATCAGACCAACTGTTTTATCAGCTTTGTAGCAGATAGCTCACACCTTTCTTTTCCTCCGGCATCTTGTTTATAGATGTTTGGAAATATTTATAAAAAAGTGGCTGCAGGGCAATTGAAATTTGTACTGGGGCAATTGCTTGGCTCTATAAACACTGTGTTTAAAACTATACAGCAATTGTAAACCTCAAAACACTGTCTGGTTTGATTCGTTTGTATTAAATTTGAAATTTCTTATCAATGTTACTTTAGCTTTGATTGTAAATACTTTAACAGTTTGTTTTGTTAAAAAAAAAAAAAATGCGGGCTTTGAGTATTCTTAGTCCTCTTTGAACTTGGACCCTTAGTTGATTAAGAAAGAGCTGTGATTTGAACATTGAAGTGTTCCTTTTAAGTTTTTCCCATATATGGAAAGGATCGGCAATCATCCCTTGCAGTGAATTATTAAATAAGATGGTGGTCGATAAAGAATTTTCCTACAACTTCCTCTCTTTATAGAAGGTCAGTTAGTATCAAACATTGGTTACTTACATGTAGTTGTAAGAATATTTTGTCTGAACTAATTTTAAGTTTTTTTCTCTGATTTTGTAATATTTTTAGAAAAAAGATGTTTTGTCATATAGCTCATCATTCTCATGCTAATGTGAAGAAAAAATGTGGATTATGTCATCACTAACCACACAAAAGAAGGTCATGGTCAAAGACGTTTTTGGTCTAATTAGTCTAAATCATGCTTGTTTTCCCCTGACCTTCATAAACTGTATCTAATGAAATTATTTTAGGTCACATCATAAGATTTGGATGTTATGTATAATATTATGCAGTAGAATTATAAACTTGAAAATTGTTTCAGTTTTCCTTCTGAAAACAAGCTCATTATATATAATATCCTTATTAAACATTTACCGCAAAGAAACGTTGCAATTCAAACCAATTAAAGGGTTTCTGGTGGAACGTGCTTACATGTAGATTGCAGTTTTGACCTAAATGCAATTTTTGAAGCATTTAGCCAAGTCTCTCTCTCTATTTGAGCACAGTATTTTTCATAACTTTGAATTAAACAAATTCTGTTATGTTTAGTGCAAAATTGTATAAAAACAATTCATTTTCACTTGATGTTATCTTTTGTTAAGTGACTAATGAAATGCTGTCAGAAAAACCATATTGTTTGGTTCAGCAATGAATTTATTAAAGGAATGACTCATTTCTTCCAAATTACTGTAGCTCAACAGAGTGTGTTGTTGTTTGTGTTTCTCCTTGAAAATGGAAGAAACATTAAAGGTAGAATTGACAACGAAGGCTGTGTATTATGAACGAAAAAACCCCAAGGCAGAAATTTGGATTTTATTCTGACTCAAATGAACCAACTCGACTGACCCAACAAATTGAAATTGGAATGTTACACAACATAGTAAATAGTTGGTTAAATAGTTAGTTAAATGTATAATTACTATTTCTTGTGTCATACAGTTATAGCATATGAAGGCACAGTATTTAGCATGAAAAAAAGAAACAGAATAAATGCCAGAATGTTGCATTGTGATGAACTGAAGGAGTAGTATACAGTCGTGTAATTAGTGATATTTATTTGTTATAAACATCCTGCTGTGTAAAGCAGTCTGTTTACACGTATAATGCAAATTAACTTCTTTCAACTTCAGAGCTCTTGCAGAGAAGTGACAAGTTCTTCATCATTTTCTAAGCATTTTCTGGTACTGTATTTTCACTAAAGGACATGTTTACACACTGTACAGCCAAGGAGATGTAAAGAAAACACAACCTTTGCATAACAAGTGTACATTTTTCAATGTATGTCATGGTGTCTTTACAAATATACAATTCTGAAACCCTGTGACAAACAGAATATTTAGTTTCTTCAAGATGGAGCTATTTGTTAGTTTCTGTTCAATGTGTATAAAGTGCAGAGTTCTCCAGATTTTCTTTTTTTAGCTAGCCTTTCAAAACAATAGTGGGGGAAAATAACTGGGTGGCCAAGCGCAAGCATCCAAATTATGTATTTCCCTTTCCTTTGATTATCATTTTCTTATTGGTTTGAATAGATCCCCTAGGGGTTATACAAAGCCAGAGCAAATGTTTTATTTTATTGTAGATATATTTTTTCCCCATCAAACAAGCCAGCCCTTTAGAAATGAGTAGCCAGGGTAAATGCCAGCTGCCATTGCTTCTTGTCAGAACACTGAAACTAATGGTCACTCTTTACATAAGCAGACACCAAGTTCTTTCTCCTTCTTATCCTCTGATGTTTACTGCAAATAAACCTGTTTCAAGGCAATACCTCTATTGAGTGGATGGAGTGGACACTGAAATAGGCTTTACTTCAGATGTAATACTGTATGTTATATAAATGCGGAACATTTTTGAAAACATATCTTGTGCAATGCACCTTACTATCACCATATTATTAAAAGAGTCCGAATTGTTGAACTACATACTGCAATGACCAAACTCACCTACTCTGTTTCCAACTGTATTTGCCAACAGATTTTCTTTTTAATCAACAAATTGATGACACAGAGCTTATACAATGTGTATTAAATGGAGACACTACACAGTTGATTTCATAAAATAGCCAATAGCATTAACTTAAAATACAGTTTGCACTGCATCAGACCATAAATTTCACCTTTTCATCATAGCAGACTGGACATCATGTAGAACTTTGTACCAAATGGATAGCCTGTATTGATCAGACACTAGTAAGAATCTAGTAGGTGTCTGCTTGCTACAATGCTACGTGTTTCACGGAGTTGACACATAGCTTTGCTCATGATTTTTTGTTGCATAATAATTTCCAGGATAAGTTGATGTTGACTTTCACAAAATGTTTGCAACAGATGTACATGTGCTTGTGATTATGAAAAGGTTATAATTTGAGTCAAATCCCTTTTTAAAATGGTTGCAAACTAATCCTTTTAATCCTAACCCTAAGCAAAAAGGAAGCACTATGTTGCACAAATGCTTTGACAGAGGGCTTAGAGGCTTGAAATCGTACATGCTGCTTTTTAAAATTTGCTTGGGCAACTTATTTTCCTCAATCAAGAGTAAGGAGTAATAAATATGAAATGTTAATGAATAAATCAATTTAACTTTGGATCCTAAATGCAAACTAAGTAATAATGAGATAGCAGTTTCCTTCACTGGTTAGGAAATTGGTGACATTTGCTGCAAATGTAGAGCTCAAAATTTTGTTTGATTTGCCAATTAGGGACCAAAAATATCAAAGCTTGCTTCACTGAATTACAATTTTTAATGATTACTAGTGTTTTTTAGGAATCTTTGCTTCACTCTACTTTTTTGTTTTGGTTTGGATCAAGAAACGTTTCAGCAGATTTGGTTAGTTTGACCCAGAGAAAATTAAATTTTTGGTTGGCGCTTTGTATGTAGGTGTATAAAGGGAAGCCCTGTACATTTGTTTGCTTGGCCTGTGAGTAAGGTCATTTACTCCCCCTTCCCTCTGGGAAAAGTATAAGATTTCTACTAGACAGTGATGTGTAACCTTTGCTTCTGGTGGTTGTAGCTTTCTGGGTTTCCATAGAAACCTTCCCTGTGCATGTATGATTAACACCCACCAATTCCAATAGGTCCCTTTTGAGTTCTTACGGTTCAGTGATCTGGTGCTGAAATTACGGCATGAAGATGAGGCTAAGTGCGAAGCCACTATCATTGATATAGAGAATAAAGTGCTGTGATGGTGAAAATGCGAGGAAAATTCTCCGAATTAAGTGTGCGAGAGTGAAAAATTTTTGTGGGAGAGAGGCATCAGCTAAGTGATGGTGGCAAATGGAAGAGAAAAGCAGAACTGTTGGATTTATGCAAGAAATGAGATTAGTGAACTGACCCATTCATCCTTCCAGCTGGTAGCTTAGTTTTCTGCACATCTTGTGTAGGGTGAATTACAGATTTACCATTTTGCTAACTACAGATTACTGCAAATTACAGATTTCTTTTTCAAAAAATACAGATTTTGAGTTCATTTCAAAAATAACTGATTTCAATTTCTTTCTGCAAACTACAGCAATTACTCACTACGAATGAGCAAGACCTAAAACAACAGTTAAATGATGACATCAAAACAACTTAGGCAATGCTGAACAAAAGCTCTGGAATGTTAGAGAAGCTGTACGTCCAAGAATTTAAAATTATTGGTTCTGGAAATTTGCTTTCACTTATTTGTAATTTCTCCTCCAACAGTTTTTCATGGTCTTTGGGAAAAGAGGCTATTCTTCATTGCTGCAGTTTCATGGATAAATAGAACAGTTCTGCTTTTTACAGAGAAAGTTTGACTCGTCATGTTTTAGTGAGCAGTGGAATCAGATAGCCGCTCGCATCAATACGAAATGTAGAGGAAAGAGGAGGACTCTTATTCACAGACTTGTGAAAACTAGTTTGTTTTGAAAACACTGAGGTGGCAGAATTAGTCTATCATTTAACATAAAAACATTATAGGTTAGTTAATTGAACAGAGTTTAGCCATTTTTCAACAAAACTGCGTTCTTTTTCACTATTATGGCACTTCAATCTTTATGCTGATGAGAGCAACTTCGCACTTAGCCTTGTCCTCGTGCCATAATTTCGGCACCAGATCACCAAACTGCAAGAACTTGGGAGTGGCCTATTCTCATTTATTGGTGATAAATTAGATTTGACTGCTTGTAAATATGTGGTCAACTTTCTTTTATTTCATTTTCAGGATGATTGTATTGTCATTAGCTGTTGGTATCTATCATGGCTTTTACCACCTGCACCAAGCTGACAAAGAAGACCAACATATTTGTGAACAGACCCTAGATTATTTTATGGGAGGCTACTTAGCCCTTCTTTTTGCAACAAATATTATGGAACTTTCCATTGCATGGATGAGTGGAAAGGGGTCCATCATGGACACTGAACCTCGAAATCTAATACCACAACTTCTCTATGTTCGTCTTGTCCTTGCTATCTTGGAAGTCCTATGGCTTTCAATAGGGATAAAATGGATATTTATTGATGGCACAACATGTGAATTGACTCATGAGATTTATATTTCAAGAGCAATTGTGATTTTCAACTGGCTGTTTTTATTTACAGTTATGGTTATTATATATTGTATATTTGACTCTGCTGGGAAAATGTGGGTTGATTTTAATGAGGCACAGCTAACAGGAGATAGTATAGATGCTTCAGTCAGTTATGGTAACCACATCATGCGCAAATATGAAAAACGTTGGGAAGGATGCTTCAAGCGATGTTTTTGTTGCTCTGGAGTAGGACAAGGAGATGATAATGTCTTTACCTTTATTGGAAGGTACATAAATCTATCAATTTACCCTCTGTGATTCACTGATGTACTTGCATTGTAAACTTATTAATTAAAATATTTTGATTTTGTAATCATAATTTGACTTTATAATAATTATACAATTATTGTACCCTGTACTAGATTTTCATTCAATATGTTTTCTCTATTGACAATAGGAAGCTTGCAGAATATTTCCAAGATTTGGATGTTGTTCCATCAGACTTTGCAGCTGGACTTGTTTTGCTAAGAAAGTATCAGAAACAACAAGAACACTATGCCCTGATGAAGGCAATTGAGCAACAACAAGTTCTAGATTCTCAGGTGTGTTTCTATAACTTGTTTGACAATTATGCAGTACAGTTGTTGTTCTTAGATTTACACTTTCAGAATGTCTGTTTGTACATCCTCTAATGATTGTATTGAATACCTGCTTATTGAAAGACTGTAAAGATTCCACTATTTCTTGAGGTTTTGGATATCATTCCTTTTGTGCCATTTTCCAGTACCATATTCTGGTTATTCTGATCGAAACCTTCAAAAATACCTTGAATAGCATTGAGTCTTCAGTTATTTCATAACAAACCACATGTGTATATGAGATGCAAGATACAATTTAATCGAGCTAGTGACTTTGGGATGAGCCACAAGCAAAAACGTTTTGGAAATTATTGTCTCAGAGTATATATATTAGGTGAGGACATGATCCAAAGTTTGTTCTGTTAGGAAGATGTGTATTTGATTTGTACAATGGATGTGGAGATTAATTCTGTATATGAGAGACTTGATACAGCTAGCCCATACGATACTGAACATTAGCTTTTGGGGCTTTGAAGTAATGTCACGCACATCCTGACTTCCATAAAGTTCTCTATAAGTAAGACAAAGTAATTTGTGATCTGTGAAGATAACAACATCTGGCTATAAGCCTTTCTGGTCTGATCACTTGTTGGCATGATTTGCTTTTAATTGCGAGGAGAAGTTAGATTGGGTTCATATCTTTCTCTGATACTACTGTTTGACTATCATACAATGATACTATGGTAACATTGCACTGTGTACTGTATGAAGCATAATTAATGCTCCTTTTCATATTTGTCTGGTGTTGTGATTTGCAGAAAGGTGTCAAAAAGTCATCACTACGCTTTCAAAGAACAAACACATCTAGAGCACTGAACCTCAAAGACAAGGTAAGGAGTCTTATTTGGTTAAGGGTAGTTACATAGTAAAAATATCCTTGCAAAAGTCTGTGTCAAGTTTTCAGTGAGTTAAACAATGCTGTAGTCAGGGGAGTAGAAAGAATTACAGTATTCATGCTTGTAACACTTTTCAATAAAATATGGAAATTATCTGCACCCTAAAAATCAATCAAAGCCTTGTTTTTGTAAGAGTGGAAAAGAAACTGTTATGGAGCGTTACTTTCCCAAAACCCTCAACAGTGAATACAGATGTTTTGTTTCAGGGCCACATTTGTTAGTCTTTCTTGTGTTTAAAAAGCAATTTTAATATTTCTTTCTCAATTTGGCCTCTTCTTTTTCCTACCTTTATCTCAATTTGTACAATTGTTATGTACATGTTTAATGCTCCAAAATAACCCTTGTTTCTTGTGTGATTTTAATAGTGAGAGGCTAGTTTTCTTACATTGTGAATTGTAACTGAAATTCATATCCAGTGACTTTCCCTTTTGCCATAGGATCATTTTACTACTCTTCCACTAATAACTTTGCTCTTCTGCTACAATTTCACTTTTAGAAAGAACTGCTTCTATTCAAGGATGTTGTTTACTACATGAACTATGCATTGTCTGCTTATGGTTGGCCAATTTACATGAAGAACAATGTAGCTTGTGGATGTTGCAAGCTCTTAAAAAGTTTCAGGTACATTAAATTGTACACCTTTAGAACCTGTGGTACTAGTGCACCCGTGGTACCTTAGAAGGGTGTTTAGGGGGGTGGAGGAGAAGGAAGAAGAGAGGGAATTTGGCAAGAATGAACAATGTACACAAAATGTGTTAATGCTTACTTAATCCTTTCCACCCTAATGTCATTATGCACATTCTCCATACTGTTCTTTATACATTTTCTAAGGTGCTGATAAGGAGATTTTATATACTGATCAAAAGCTTTTTTTGTTGGTAATCATTTCCTCCATTCTCATGACCTTAATGCGCGATTCAGGGCTGATATTGTAGGGAGAAATTAGGTGCTAATCACTCCTAGGTTTAAAGAGTAAAAAGCTGTCTTACTTTGTAATGTTTATTAGACCCTTATTTGGTACGAATTTTGATGGTTAGTGCTTTGTGTTTAGTGCAACTTGTTGTCATGGTGAATTCCTTTTTTGTATAACTTAGAGGACGTGAGGATGGAACTGTTATTGCAATGTCATTCATGTTTGTTCTCTCCAAGAAGGTTATCATTGTTATGCTAACTTTTTGTCAAGTTAAGCAACACATTATTTGTTTATTATGGCAGGTGTTGCTATCCATGTCGTCATCCAGACCCCAGGTCACAAAAGTTTGTTGACATTGAAAGTGACAACTGCTGCCGATGTAATTACTCAGCCCTAAAGAGGATAGCTAACATTCACAATAGTGATGTCATTTATGTCAGCTATCACAACAAAGTAAGTTTAATTTTACTAGTAACGTCTCCATTGTGTCCATAGGGCATCAGGGTTTTTAGAGAATTATTTGGCTACTACGCATCTTTCTGAGGTTAACTTTGGGTGATCTAGGCTAGTTTTTGTTTAGATGTGGAGAGTATTATATGCCTTATATTCTTCATGCTACTTTATTTCCTAACGAATCCTCAATTCAATTCTCTGAACTCTATTTGTTCATAATTTATCCCTCTTACCTCCAAAAGTTGTCAGCACTGTAATTCTCCTTTCATATTTGATACACAATCCAACAGACAGCTTTGGGAAATTAAGAAATTGATCATTTCCTTGTTGGTGACATTGGCTGGACTTCACTCAGCCTACAATGTATATAGAAATGTAAGGTTGTTTTTTGGGTCCGAGGTTTTATTTCATAACAGGGCAATTTAGAATTATAAACTGAGTTGCTAACGTAAATTGGCCACCGCAGAGAGTTTCAAAGCTGACGTTTCAAGCGCGAACCTTTAGTCAGAGCGAATTAAAGCATTAGCCTTTTATCACTCTTTATTCATTTGTTTTTCCGTATCTTGTTAAGAAGGGGTTAATATTTTCAAGATACCTTTAATTAACTAAGATTGAGAGAGTATATTCATAGGAACGCATACATGTCTTCTCGGTAATTTTTCTCTTTTTCCAGCTCTTTGAAACACCTTTCTTTGTGAGTGTGGATCATGTTAAAAAAGCCATCGTAGTCACAATCAGGGGAACTTTGTCACTTCAGGTAAGAAAAGACTCTTTTTCTGTCGTATGTCAGTATTCAGACATAGCTTTTTGTCGTTAAAACTTACAAAATTTATTTGCACTCAATTTATTCAAATATATTATGTTCCAGGATATCCTTACAGATTTCTCCGTTGAGCCAGAAAAAATTCCCTTGGATGATGGAGATCCAACTTGGTTTGGACACAAGGTGTGCACACTTGAGTGATCAATCCTTTCGGATGTAAATAATTCCATGTGCTAAGTTTTGTGAACTTGTATGCTCTTCTATCTTCATTTCTTCACTTCATTTCCAGGGCATGATAAGAGCTGCCCTCTACCTCAAGAAAAAATTGGAGACTGGCTATTTAGCTCAAGCTTTTCATTCTGATCCGGTATGCAGTTTTAGTTGATTGTTTTATTAACATTATACTGAGGGATACAACGTAGGTGAAGACATCGTTCGAGTCGTAATTAGCCCCCAGTGGCGGGGTGTATCTCGGCTCCCATGACGAGATGAGGTGTGAGTATCATACCTCCCCCTTTGATCACAGGCGTCCCAAGTTCATCTCTCGAGTAAAGCCTGGCCTTGAGATTAAGATTAATTCTCGGAAACGTATGGATTTATTCATGAAAGCGTCACGGGTTGTGTGACGCGGTGTGGGGTTACGCGAGGAACTGCTGAAAATTTGAACGCTTTATACGAGGAATCGTATGTTGTATGGGAAACGAAATAAGGACGATTCCTTGACATGTATAACAGTGATGGCAAAGCAAACACAAAACGATAGAGGTCGCCAGAAACTACAAAGGGCACACAAGGACTGAGTAATTTTTATTAAACTTACTTTAAATGTAAGTTAAAATGTAAAATGTTCATATTTCGCAATATTTGGCGTTGTAAATCAACTATATTTCGTTCCCCATGCTATTCCTTATAACGGGTTCAAATTCTCAACAGTTCCTCGCGGAAACTAACACCGCGTCACACAACGCGTGACTATTCCACGAATAAATAAATACCTGTCCGAAAAGTAATCTTCCGCTTTTCTCGAGACGTGAGCTTGGAACACCTGTTCTTAGATAAGATTCTATTCCATCAGAGTTACCCCGCGGATTTCGTCAGGTTTCCTTGCAGAAACTTCGCCGGTACCTGTTTACTCTCCAGGGTGGAGAGAGGCATTATAATGTGAAATTATTTTGCCCCGGGACGCAAAGGAATGTCTGTCAGGGCTTGGCCCAAACTCCTTCACCTCAACCCACCGCGTCTCTCGCATACGATATGTCAACCTTATTGCGATGATTCAGAGCGCAACTCCACTGAGTGTCGTAAAACATCAAAAGAATTAATCAAAACTACTAGTTTGAACTAATGAAAAGAGTATTTTCATCGGGTGGTGAGAGCTTAACGTAAAAGCAAGAATCCGCTAGAAATAGATGGCAAATTCCACAACTGTAAGCTCTTTAAAGGAATTCCTCGGAGGAATCATTGGAATCAACAAGAATGTCAACTCGTTAGCTAAAGTGAATGGTTTTAACTTTTAACTGCTTGGTTAAGCGGGTGGTGGGAGATTTCTTTGAAGAATATGAAGAATTAAAAAAACTGCAGAGTTTTCGGACAAAAATTACAATTTTTCTAGAGTTTGTTGTCAGTGGTAATGTTTCCTTTTTCTTTTTCTTTTTCTCTTGACTACAGGAGAGGCACACTGAATTGTATCGCCTCATTGTGGTCGGTCACTCACTCGGTGCTGGGACAGCAGCTATTCTGGCCATGTTACTGCGACCGTCTTACCCGGATCTTTTTTGTTATGCCTTCTCACCACCCGGAGCCACCTTGAGGTGCTCACATGGTTTCATTTTACAAGTGCTTTATCCGCTCACCGTAAATGCTGTAATATTCCCTCGGGGCTTACTTTGTATGACCCTCAGACGGAGGCTGTCTTAGGAAGGATAGGAAGAGGAAAGGTCAAATTTTGAATTAATTTAAAAGCGAAAATGCGAGTCATTACTTTTCTACAAAATTTTGATGATTATCGTAAGCAGAATGCATTTCCTTGGTTTAAAAGGCTATTGTGCCTTAGACTATTATAGGTTTTCAAGCAAACACATAATTTACGCTGAAGCGCTTCCTAGCCTGAATGAATGTCAATATCACGTCATAACCATTTGCACAGTATCACTCAAGCATTGTTATTTACCCTGTTTTCTTATTTTAGGATTTTTTTTTTACAGGGGGAGGGTTTAGGAGGGGCTGGGGCTTAAAGAGGAGAGGAGAGTTTGAAGATCTAGACAGGCGGTGCCTGAAACAAAGGGGGCTGATTCGACAGGGGAGAGGTGCCTTATTAGGGTATCCGATCACGTCGCTCACGGACCAACTTGCCCGCGCCAACTCGCTCACGCATAAAATCATGGCATTCACAACGTTCTTAGTCCTAACTGTAAATTGGTTCTTCAGTGCACCGACAAGCTTGATCGATCGTAATTTATAAAAATGTTATGGTTGCTGTTTCAGTCTACCGGCGGCAAAGTATGTCCGTGATTTTGTCATCTCAGTCGTCATTGGGAAAGATATGATTCCAAGGTAATTTACGCTATTGATGTCTTCGTGAAGATCCTGTAGTTGATTGTGATACTGTGCTATAGGATACCCTTGTGGTGGGATACTTCACGAGTTTATAAGTTTGGATGCATTTAGATTGAGCGGAGCGCAGCGAAACCAAAGCAATCCCGAATTAATTTCGACATTCAATGAAAAATTGCTCCTAAATGAAATGCCACGAAATCTAAGCTAAAAGTCTCTATCGAATTGGTCCCTAGCGCTTGATATTTGTGCTTCAATGAGAATCGAGAGTTGACTATTGAGGATGACTGATCGAGTTTCAACTTAATATTGTATGGGGCTAAGTGGCCAGTACAAGTGGAGTGTCAGGTTACATTGCGTTTTGTGCTCTATGTTTATGCTTTACCACTCTAGTTGGGAAAGCTAGATGTATTATTGGTAAATATGTATGAAAAATTAGTCTACAAGTCGACACAGTAGCTGAGTGATTGAGAAGTCATGGGCGAGATGAGTTAAACATTATTTTACAGATTGAGTCTTTACACTATGGAGGATCTTCGGAACAAGATAATGGCCGTGATAAAATATTCCACCACTCCAAAGGTAAAGTAACTAGAAACGCCTAGTTCTTATAAAAATGTCTAGTTTTTATTTCATTTTAGATGAAAATACAACTGGTGCGTTTTCATATAAACCTCTATGTCGTGTTATCCATTTAAAGAGGCTACTCCCCATTTTGTTATAGGGTTAATTTGGTTATCGTTTATCTGCTTCTATTCAGCAGTCCTGTAAATATAAAAAAGCTGTTTTCTTTGGACACTTCTATCCAGGCGACACCTTCTTTCACAGACACCATCTAAGTTTCTTACTGGTAGCAATGGCCTTTGCGGGCCTATAGCCTTCTTATCGGTTATCCTCATTGAAGAGGCAGTCATTAAAGGAGTCTTTTCTTAGTTCCGATGAAGTTCCCTGAGTAGAGGTACCCTCTGCAGTACCTGTAAAAAATCCATTTACGAAAGAAGAGGCTAGAGTCCAAACTTCGTAGAAGATATGTACTACATTTGTTGAATGAACCACAACAGTTGGCTAAATAAAAACTCTTGAAGTTCTTAAAATTCCAAACAAAGGGTAGCTAATTCGTGCAACTTAACTCCGTGAAAACAAATAACAAAAATACTCGAAATAGTGACCACGTCAATTTTCCAATGTCCGGGTTATAGTTCTTTAACGATTGGCTAATTTGTGAAATTACGCGCGCCGCGAGCAGATATAAAAAGAATACGAAGGGGGGAGGGGAAGACAAAAATTATCATTTTTCAAAAATGACATTACTCGACGATTTGCTGAGTTAATTCCAAACAAGAGAGGATAAAAAATAGGTCTTTTTCGCAGTAGTAAATATTTCTTTGTTGCAGTGGAAGATTTTACGTGGATGCGTTTGCCGTTGTGCATTCGTGTGCTGTTATGGGTGCAGATGTGTCAACTGTGATGCTCAGCTACGAGATAGTGAGGCAGACTGGGAACACTTCCAGTTGCCTAGCAACAAGGACTCTCAGACACCACCATTCTTTCCACCTGGAAGAGTAATTCACGTGGTCAAAACTGTGTCCGTTCCAGGGTAAGTTAAAGATGATTTAATAATCAAACGCTAGTAGACTTTACCTACCGATTATTAATCTGACTATCTGTCTTACTGTCGATCTGACTGATTGTGTATCTGTCTGATTGTGTATCTGTCTGTTTGTCAACTGTCTGATTGTCTATCTGTCTGTCTCCAACTTGCCCGCCTAACCGGCAGTAATTGTGATTTGTTATTTTACCATTTATTTGTTTCTTGTTCACAGCCGATGCGGTCGGAAGGGGACCATATTCGAACCGGTTTGGGCTGACTTACAGGACTTCCAGACGATTCAAATCTCAGGCCTTATGTGGGAGGACCACATGCCAGACTTTGTTCTAAAGGCGCTAAATCAGTGCCTTCCCTCCAAGGAACAGGAAGAGAGTGTTCTTTCAGCCCCAGATTCACCATTTCCTAACGTACTAGAGGTCCCTCCTACAGGATTTGTGGCGCCTAATCACTTTCATAAGCAAAATAATCACATTGCGTCAAGATCACTTCGAGAAGGTACATGAACATTTATTACTGGTTTTAAAGGGTTAGGACACGGTATTTTAGCTCGGGGGGGGGG